ACATATATATATGTATATATATATATATGTATATATATTTTGCATACTGCCCCATTGTCATTTTTATTGGTTCTAATTATTTACTCTAGACTTTTGCTTATCTTTAATTTGTTCAGAAGCTCTGCCCCCAGCACATTTAAATGCTGATGCAGTCTAATTTTGTTCTCCCTGATTTTTGCTTTTAGTGTTTAGAGGTAGGGACACATGGAGACCTCCCCTACGGTAGTCTCAGCGGTTCACATCCCTGATCCAGGGCCCAAATCTTTTAAATTGGGTGGTCCAAGCCCAATTAGTGGAGGGAACTCAAAAACTGCTGGGCCCCTGGATCTCTTTGCTGTTGCCCAGAAGGCCTGGTCTGGGTAAGTGCAGAGAGAGCTTCTCCCTGCTGGCGTGTATTACACCTAATGCATCACGTCACTTCCATATGCTTTTGAACTGACAACACTTCCTAAAGATGACTGGAGAGTCAACCCTGTTTTTGTTTTAACCACACAGTCAATCAATGAAAACTTACACTTTTCACAAATTCTCCATTTCCTTAACCATAAATCTAATTTATCAGATTTCTGTAATGCCGCAGTATTATACCTTCCATGAAATTCACTTTGCTTACACTAAAACGGGGGTTAGAAGGAATCCACGCAGGTAGGTTTGCATAGGTTCCTTGTCTTTTTCACTCTTATTCCTCCCCACTGGGATTTTCCTAGGGTGGAAGTAATTTTGCTACTACTTTTGCATCTTTTCAGGATCTCAGAAATCTCACCAGCAGCTGGCCCGGAGCAGCAAGGCTGCAGGGCTGGTGGGTGGGCTCTTTTTTTTTCTTTTTAAGATTTATTTAATTATGCATACATGAATTGTGGTACTGGCCAGAGGTGCAGGGGGTGAGAGGATTCACCAGAGACAGTGGGGAGCAGAGCAGGCAGACTGACTGAGGTACACTGCTGAGGGGAGCAGCAGGTGGCTCAGGAGAGGTCTGCTGCGCCATGTGGGTCACCTCTGGGGCAGACAGAGATTGAACTCATGCTGCAGTGGCTGTGTCCAGCTTCATAGTGCTGCGCTTTAATCCCTGTGCCACCAGGGAGAGTCCTCGATATATATATATATATATTGATATGTATATATATTTAATGCTCTCTACTCTGTGCCCCACAGACATGTGCATATAAAGTAAAACTGATTGTACGTTAGCTGTGCAGGAGGCATTTTGAGGGGTAGTGGTGGATGGGCTGAGATGATGCCTCCTCCGCTAGACTCGAGGACCCTGAGGGCATCCAGGATATTGGCTCCATAGGGGTCAGGGCCTCTGCCCACAACCCCGTTGCTTTGTTTCCCAGGCTAAGATGGACGGGACAGAGCCCCGACAGCGAAGACCGGAGGAGCCGGGCCTGCCACACACACTCATCTCAGGAAGACTCCCCTCAGCCTCCCAAGATGGACTTCTGAGTATCCCTGAGAGCCAGAGGCCGGCCACCAAGCCACTGGGGCCTGAGCTCAGCCGAGAGACCTCCTTGTCCATGGCGCTTCAAATGGCAGTGCCCTTCACGTTTGCAGGCCTGGGACTGTCCGGGGCTGGCATGCTTTTGAACTATTTCCAGGTAAGAGGGAAGGGAGATGATGGGAGAAGGCACCATCTTTCATCACCCAAAAGAGCAGATGACTGTTTGTTGGGTCCACTTGAGGAACACAGGGCGATGCCCCTCTTCTCAAATACCATCTCCCTATAAATTAGCCCAGGTGACAGAGACAGATTTACCCAAGTTAATTCAGCTCAGAGAAGATCCAAGGGGGCAGATTTCAGGCATGGCATGATCTAGGTGCTTAAATGACGTAAAGATGCTGATTCTTTCCATATAGCTCAGTTCTGTTTTGTTTTCAGGTAAAACCTGCAGGAGAGGCTTATCCTTAGCAGCAATAATACTGCCAACTGCTGTTATACATGTGCTATGAAGAAAAAAAGGGAACTAACCCTTTATCAATATCCTCATCAACCTGCAAAACTGACCGTGATGCCAAGTGTCCACTTCTGTTCCGGTCACTGTTCCCTGAGTGCGCCATTCTGATTGGCCAGCCGACAAATGATGATTTGTCATCATTCTTTGAAGTTCCTTATTTTTCAGCCTATTAGAACCCCATAGCATGAGGATCCCAAAAAGCAGAAAATGGTACCAATGTGCCTATTCTGCTGTCAAAGCCCCAGTCGTCAGCATAATCTCCGGAAGCCCTCCCCGGGTACAGTCGTTACTGGCCTGTCTTTCCCCTTAGCTGGCGACCAGCTGAGAACAAATGTACCCTGGAGTGGGGCAAGCCGGGAGAAGCGGGCCTCACCCACTACCCTGGGGCTTAGCACCTCAAGGGCCCAAGCCCTGGGAACTTAGCCCTGCCCCTATCTGACTGGGACCCGGTCCAGGCTGTCACATTCTGGCATTTAGCTGTAAGTCCGGTTGGTTTTTTGCACCAACACATAAAAATCAGGAGATTTCATATAAAAACCTGAAATTCTGTTTTCTCTTGAACACACATCAACTCTTATAACCGCAGGCCAACATTCCATGGTGGCCACATCAGGGCTGCATGTAACCTATGCACATGCTCCCTGAGCTTTGTGTCTGGTTACTTACGTACGTGAGACAATGTAAGTGGTCTGTATGTAGTTGTTATCCTGTATTGTTTAGAGAATAGTGACAAGGAAAATCATCTGCACATACTCATCAGATGAGGTATTCAGAATATGAATACACATATTCACTCACTCGGACGACGGAAGGTTTAAGGACAGTGGGTTGAATGTGGATGGGGACCCTCTGGCTGCTGAAAGCTGACTGTGGTTATACACACCGGTGTATGTAAATTGCCTGTGCGTACTTACACTGTTTCCATATTGTGAGTATGCACATACTTTGGTTTTATAAATTACATAGAAAAAGACACTGTATTGCTTAAGAGTCCAGATTAGCTAACTGGACTTAGTCTAGCCTTTGTCACTTATACAACTTGCTCTGTTCCCATTTTCCCTTCTTTAAAAAAAAAATTGACCTTATTTATGTATAAAGGAACTGGGGTGTAGGGATGAGAGGATTCACCAGAGACAGAGTGGGGAGCAGAACAGGTAGATGAAGTAGTTACCTAGAATGTACAGAAACTTACCAAGTAAACTTTACTTACAATCCCATCATCCAAAAGTAGCCACTTGGAGCTTTTAGTGTATAGTGCTTTGAAGTTTTCACTACTCTCTGTCATTTGATCGTTTTTAAAATAATGAGAACTATTTTTTAAAAAATCTTAACATTTATAGTCTATAGGCCATTAGTCAAAGTGTTTTTTTTTTTTTTGCATAGAAAAACTTGGAGGTGCAGGCCAGAAATGTGGGGGTGAGAAGAATCACCAGAAACAGAGTGGGAACAGAGCAGAAAGGTGGATCTACTGAAATATATTACTGAGGGGAGCAGTGGGAGAGAGGAGAGGTCTGCTGCGCCATGTGGGAAAGCTCCCTGGCTGAGGATTGAACCCAGGCCATAGTAGTGACAGTGCTGAGACTCAACACCTGGGCCACCAGGGAGGCCTTGAGAAACATCCTGTCATGATTTATAAGTCGTTTAATGCCTCCTATATGAAATTATGTGAATTGTCCAAGGAGACTGGTTTGGGGACCCACTGTGTGTGGTGACACATTGCACTGTGGTATCTGACGATGCTCAGAGCTTAGAGGAGTCACAGGAGGGGCCAGAGTCAGAAACGGGTCACCTCTTGCCCGGCCTCTGTTGTGTGGGGACCGTGTTTCATTGTTCAGGGAAACCCCAGCCAGGCAGGGTTCTGTCGTAAGCTGGGGACAGTCAGGTCAGATGTGGGGTTGAGGTGGTCGCAGGGAGGCTTGGGTGTCCTCACACACTGAGGCAGGAGGCCTTGTTGAGGAAGAATGATGAGGAACGACGGGCTGAGTTTGATGTGCTTTTCCTTCCACGTAAGCGGGTCAGACGTGGTATGAAACTCAGGGACCCCTGGTCTGAAGAGAGAGGTTGGTGGTTGCTGATGTAACCAAGAGATTAAGCAAAGGTGGGAATGAGGTACCCCACCTGTCCCGTTATCGATTGCTGGCAACACCCCAGACCCAAATGCTGGGGCTTGTTGAAAGTCTTATCCCCAATCGGCATATAGGGCAGGGCTCTAAGAACGCAGCCTGCTCAAGTGGCCTGGGGGCCGCCCGGGCACTCTGCCCGGCTCCCTCACCTGAGGTGGGGTGGGACGCCACAGGAGGCCTCTCTGTGTGTCTCGTGTTGCTGGCTGACTGGGTTTCAAGCAGGAACATCTCATCAATAGGAAGTGGACACTGCTGGTTTCTCAGATATGGGCCCAGAGCTGGATGAGTGATGACTGAATCTGGAGTGAATGGTGTGAAGAGAGGTGCTGAGGAGAGCTGGGTGTGAGGAGCCTGAGGAGGGGACAGGAGGAGCTAGACTGCAGCGGGCTGTGGAGCCCAGGCTAGGGGTGGACTCGAGCAGCAAATAGGCTCCCCCGACAGAGGGCACTGGCTGAGTTGCAGGGGATCGGCTGTCCCTGAGGTGCAGAGACAGGTGCAGAAGTGAGTGTTATCTCACCTCAGCTTTAGCCTTTGCTGGTTGTGGCCTTGATCCCTGCTCCAACCTGCCCCTTCAGGCTGGACACGTCTCCCTGGAGCCTGTGAGATGCGGGGGACACAGCACAGCCATGGAGCCCAAGGTGGCGCCCAGCGCCTTCTCCACCTGTGCCCAGTGGATGGCTGGGTGAGGAGCTGGTCTGACCTCGTAGCAGACGAGGCCAGGTCCCTGTGGAGGCAGTCTCCCAGTCTTCCGGGCCGATGAGACAATAGGGCTCGTTTTTTTCTGTGAAAAGTAATTGCCCCGGCCCTGAAATCGAGCTGACCGAAGGAGTTGGCTCCTGTCCTGGGAACCTGTAGACCTCTCTGCCTAGAGGTGAAACTCCCTTGGGGGCTGGAGACCTGGCCCTTCAGCCTGGCATCTCTGGGTGCTTCTCTGCCGAGAGGAGAGGCATGCAGAGGCGGGCAGAGCGCTGTGGGTGCTCATCAAGGCCAGGCCTCACGTGGCTCCTCAGGGCAGCCCAAGCCGGTATGGGCTGAACTGTCGGACACTGTCAAGGTCATGCTGAGGGACAGTGAGTCTCCTGGGGGCAGGCCAGTGGAGGAGGTCTCCGCTGACACAGCAGCTACTGTCTGAGGAGAAGCTGAACTGCAGGGAGTGGACAGCAGAAGCTGCCTCGAGTTGAGGGTCCGTCGTCACCTTGACCACTGCTCCTCACTAGTTTGCTTGGTCGGGGGCCCTCCGCAGACACGGGGTACCTGGCAACGCCCCGGGTGTGAATGTCTAGAAAAGTGCGTGGTGTGGACAGGGCCGAGAGGCGCCAGCTGTGACGTCCCGCTCCTGGAATGCCGCTGCCCACAGCCTGACGATGGTGGTCACCCAGTTGAATCTGGAGTTGCGCTTTCAGGGCAAGAGGCTGCGAGGCTTCCGCTGTGAGCTCACCCGATCCCCGCATGGGGTCTTCCCTGAGACCAGCTTCTCCATCATGGGCCAGACCGTGGTGCCCATCCTGCTCTCCGGCGCGGGCATGATGGCCGCCGGCCTGGTGATGAACACCATCCAAGTGCGTACTGGGTGTCAGGGACAGCGGGGCCCCTCAGTGGGGAGACTGGGATCCCCAGACATCAGATAGGACCGGTCAGAGGATGCCCGAGGCTCCTGGGACTGTGGTTCTCAGGGCACTGAGTCCCATCCAAGATCAGCCACAGTGGCCTGCTCCCCTGCAGCAAATGCAGGCTCACTAGGGATTGAATCTAGCCTCTACTTGAGGGAATGTGGTAATCTCCCTGCCTCAGTTTCCCCATCTGTATGTGGGGCTAGTGAGAGTACCACCTTGTAGGCCTCTCTGCTGAAGGTGGGGTGGGGGAAGAGGGTGTCTGTGGGGAAGGGAACATGGCCCTCTCCCTAGGTGAGGTCCCCACTTCCTTATCATAAAACATCTTTATTGTATCATTTGCAAAATGCTAAGGATTTTAGGAGCTTGGTGTTAGAAGCAGCAGCTAAGATTAACCTATGTTTCTTTTTTTTTTTTTCTAAAGATTTATTAATTTGTGCATTCAGAACTGGGGTACAGGCCAGAGGTTCAGGGGTGGTGATGGGATTCACCAGAGACAGAGTGGGGAGCAGAACAGGCAGGTTGACAAAGTACACTGCTGAGGGGAGCAGCAGGCGGGTCGAGGGAGGTCTGCCCTGTGGGTCACCTCCGGGGCAGGGATCAACTCCTGCTGAAGTGTCTGCAGCTAGCTTCACAGTGCTGCGCTTTAACCCATTGTGCCAACGGGGTGCCCTGAATCTATATTTCTTATTATAAATTACAACACCACAGAAGTTTATTTTTGCTTTGGGCTTGGTGAGCACATGGTCATGTGTGCAGGCAGGAAAGGGAGCCCTCAGGAGCCCAGGAGGGACACGAGGGGGCTTACCGTGGAGGAGCCAGCGTGGGCTGGCGTTTGCTGGGGTGTGGCGGCTGATAGAGGGCTGTGGAGGCTGAGGCCGGATGCTCCTGGATTATGGGGGCTCAGAAGGACTGCTGATAAGGTCAGAACCTCCCCGCCTGGTGACAGGGTCTCTCGAGCATTTAGAAGAGGGCAGGCTCATAATTCATCAGAGCCTGGAATGAGTTCTCAGTACTGCTGCTTTGCGGATGGGTGACAGGAGACACCGAGGGGAGAAATGAGTCCTCTTGATAGCTCTGTGAATGGGAAGGGGTCTTAAATAGCGGGGGCCCGTTATCTCCAGGCCTGGTAAGAGGTTTTATTAGGCTGCTTTGTAGATGACTCTATGGGGTCCCCTGCAGGTAAATGGCTTTGCACACCTTTGCCTTGCTCTTGTCTCAGGGATGGAATTCCAGGCTCCAAGCTGCCTCTCTTCCAGCTGACAAAACAGGACCTTTCTTTTTAGTCCTGCATGTCAGAGCCAGGAAGATCTAGTTGAGGGGTCAGGGAGATAAAATAAGTGTAAGGAGGATCAAATGGGGTGTTCATAATTGGGGGTGGGGTGGGCATGGAGGGACAGTCTAACAAGTATAATTCCACAGAGATTTTTTGTCTTCCAACTTTTTTTTAAGATTTATTTATGCACATGGAACTGGGGTGCAGGCCAAAGGTTCAGGGGCAGCGATAGGATTCACCAGAGACAGAGTGGGGAGCAGAACAGGCAGATGGATAAAGTACACTGCTGAGGGGAGCAATGGGCAAGACAGAAGAGGTCTCCTGGGCCATGTGGTCAGCTCCCTGGCCGGGGATTGAACTGCTGTAGTGGCTACAGAGAGCTTCACGGTGCTGTGCCTTGACCCCTTGCGCCACCAGGGACGGCTCTCTTCCAACTCTCTTGAAACACACTTCCTTTTTTATTTTTCACGTTTGACAGACACCTAGGCAGAGGCACAGTCAGTGTGGTAGATCCAGAGCCCTTGCTATTGCCTGGGGTGCCTGCGAGTCACTGTCCCTGCAAAGCGAGGCCTGCAGCTCTCCCAATTCAGGACTCTCTCGGCTTTGAAATGAGTGATGCATTCCTCTTCCAAACTCATTGCACACCTCAGGCTGGATCCAGCCGCTGCCCTGATCTGGTGCGGTCCCAGCTTTCCTGGCCAAGGGCCAATTTATGGAATAACAACAACAAATTCCTTTTTTTGATATTTGTTTTATTATTCATTCATTTCCTTATATCATTGTTCATTTTTGGACAGTATTTGATTTCTCCTCTCAGATGTAGTTCCCCTAATGCTCCCACCACCATATCACCCATGATCTATCACCACAGCTCTCTCCCCTGTTCTGGCCACTCTCCTTCCCCCTCCCCTGCTGTATGCCCCAGATGGTCATCTTGCAAGTTCTATTCTTTTCCTGGCCCTTCGATTTCTCTATATTCCACATGTGACACCCTCCAAACTTTATCTTTTTCTTTCCTACTTAACTGACTCAACATAATCTCTTCTAGCTCCATCCATGTGATTGCAAATGACATGAATTTTTCTTTTTGATAGCTGAGTAATATTCCATCGTGTGTAGACCACCTCTTGATCCATTCATCTATTTCAAGGTATACGGGTTGTTTCCATATCTAGCTATTGTAAACAGTGCTGTGATAAACCTAGGAGTGCAGATTTTCTTTCAAATTAGTGTTTTTGTGCCCTTTGAGTAGTGGAACCTCTGGGTCATCTGGTAGACCCAGCTGTAGCGTTTTGAGGATCCTCCACACAGCTTTCTCTTGATACCTGATTACGGAATGGGGGCATCCAGAGAGGAAGGAGAGGTGAGAGATGAAAACAACGGAGGGAGGGAGCACAGGATGTGTGATGGTGGACAGTGGGTCCTTTGGTGGTGACAAATGACATGGTGACATGGTGGTGGCAATGCCTCAAGGGGAGCTTGTACACGTGTGTCATGGAAACAAGGAAGTAAAGCAATGTTAACGTAATAAAAACCATTTTAAAAAAGGTCACAGCTTTATCCTTGTTTTTTCTTTCATACAAAGCCTTTTTTTTTTTTTTAAAGATTTATTTATTTGTGCATACAGAACTGGGGTAGGTACAGGCCAGAGGCTCAGGGGCGGCGAGAGGCTTCACCAGAGACAGAGTGGGGAGCAGAACAGGCAGATCGACGAAGTACTCTGCTGAGGGGAGCAGCGGGCGGGTCAGGAGAGGTCTGCCGCGCCATGTGGTCACCTCCAGGGCAGGCGGGAATCGAACTCATGTGGAAGTGGCTTTAGCTTCTCAGTGCTGCGCTTTAACCCACTACGCCACCAGGGAGGGCCAATGCAAAGCCTTTTAAGAAAATAGTTTTACTTAGTTTACAGAGCAAGAGGGAATTTGCCAAAGCTTCTCAGGAAATTTCTGAGAGAGGTATGTGTGTGGTTGATGTCCTTGTTTCTTTCCTGATAGCACTGGCCCGTGTTCACGGAGGTTCAGGACCTCTTGACGTTGGTGCCGTCCCTGGTGGGTCTGAAGGGCAATCTGGAGATGACACTGGCGTCTCGGCTCTCCACGGCTGTAAGTGGACACTGTTAACGAGGTTTTTGCTCTTTCATGATGCTCTGTGTGCTCCCTCTCCCCAGCTTGACATCCAGTGTTTCCATGGCCACCATAGACAGTTGACAGGCCTGGGCCCAGCCCCTGTGCGAACTTCATTTGTCCTTTAATGCAGATGCAGGCTGGTGCTCTGTGTCCCATGTCCCTGCTCAGTCACCTGGGCCCCAAGCCCAGCTGGACACAGCTGTAACGAGCTAGACTGGCTTCATGGAGGATTTGCTGGAGGATGACAAGCGTGTATGCTCACACACCTTGTGTGGGAGATGGGATGGTCCACGGGGCCTTCTGATTCCCAGGGGACCTGCGTCCTTGCTGCCCCCACCATCCCTGCATCAGCACTTTGAAAACAGAGCAGCGTAATTTATTCCGATATTGAAATGCATGTGCTGATTTTCCTCCTGGCCTCAATGCTGCCTTTTCCAGGAAAGACTGACCTGACTTTGGACTGACTCTTAGCCCTTTCTCTCTTTGCTAGGCCAACACGGGACAAATTGATGACCCCCGGGAGCAGCACAGAGTCATCAGCAGCAACCTCGCCCTCATTCAGGTGACTCTCCCCTCTGTCCATTGATGAATCTCCTCCCTGCTTCTGAATCTGCATCCAGGCGTGCAGTGGGGAAGGGAAAGGCTAGAGTGCCTTCATCCTGTACTCCGACTGAACTTGGGGGAACAGGGGCTACCAGTGTGCCCCACACCCACCAGAATAGCTGGAGGCTGCTTGAAAGATCTGCCAAGACTCAGCGGAGCGATTGCCTGTTCTTTCCACTATCTCAGCTCATCCTGTGTTTGCCAAGGTCACTGACGTCCTCCTACGTGTCCTGTGATTGCCTCGTGCGTGTAATCCTCCTTATATTTTCTGGAGCAACTGCAAGTCTTTTCTGCCTGGAAATTCCCCCCTGGCCCCACTTCTGTCTCTCTCTGTTCCTTCTCAGCCTTCGAGAGACCCTCCCTAGTGTCCCTCAAGGGCTTCATGTGCGTTTCAAACATGTACCTCCTTCTAGCAGATGGGAACAGCCACGGGGGTGGGGAGACTCAGAGAGGGCTCGCCAGTGGGAGGTGGGGCTCTGGGGGCGATTGGGGTCTGGGCTGCTGGAGCCACAGAGCACTTCTGCCTAGACCCGTGAGGAGGGAGCTGTGAGCAGATGGATGCCAAGGGCTGGGGGAAAGATGCAGAACTTGATTCTGTGATGGAAAGTGTCATCTGACGGGAGCAGGGAGGAAAGCAGCCCTTTTCAAGGGAATTGGCCTGAAGGAAAAGCACTAGCTTGTTTTTCCCGTGGTGGGGGCTGTTGGCAGACTTCAGGGTGAGGAAAGGAGGCCCTGGCGAGTGGCACAGTGACCCTTGAGGATGTAGGGGAGGCATAGGGAAGGGTGGGCAGGATTGACCACAGTCAGAGGGACTGTCCTCTTCCTTCTGATTCCACCCCACAGGTGCAGGCCACCGTTGTGGGGCTCCTGGCTGCCGTGGCCGCGCTCCTGCTGGGTGCTGTGTCCAGGGAGGAGGTGGACTTCTCCAAGGCGGAGCTGCTGTGTGCCAGCAGCGTCCTCACCGCTTTCCTGGCTGCCTTCGCCCTAGGTGAGCTGGGCCCAGTGCTGCCCTCCCCAGCGCTTCCAGTTCTTTGTGGTTCTAGAGGAGGCGTGCTAATGGAGGGACATCAGGCACCACCAGGGGCCCAGAAGAGCCTGCTGGGTCCCCACCACCTGCTGGGCGGGGAGGGCAGGGCACAGGCAACAGAGATCTGCCCGCTCCGCCCCTCTCTCCTCTGCCTCCTCAAGGGTCCTGCCTGTGTTCTGTGGGCACTCACCCAGCCAGCCAGTCAGCCTGGAAGCTTCCCGGCATGAGATGGGCCTGTGATCAGGGTGAGAAGTGAGACGCAGGTGTTAGCTGACATTTTACCTCAAGAGAGGCTTCCTGACCAGCTTGCACACTTTCTGCGTCCTCCCGTCTCCCAGTACCACCAGGCCCTTCCTTTCACAGCGCTTAGGAAAATCTAAATTGCAGTTCACCCTTAAATAACTCAGGCATTGGGGGCACTGACTCTCCCCAACACACACAGTTGAAGATCCACAGATAACTTTTGGCAGTCCCCAACTGCAAGCCGGCAGTTGGCCAGAAGCCTTAACTGTAACATAAAAAACCTGTATTCTGTGTGTTAAATGTGTTAAATGTATCATACACCGTATCTTACAGCAGAGCTCCAGAAAAGACACAGTTAAGGCCATCTCGAGAGGATACAGTGATAGTAAGAGCTGTACTGTGTTTATCCCTCTGTAACTAGAACACCCACCCTTAGGCCGACCGTGCTCGAGGGTCCTTTCCCTGCTCGCTCCTGCCTCACCTCCCTGCTCCTGAGGCAGGCGTGCTCCTGGTCTACCAGCTGCTGCTCCCATCACACTCCCTGCCCCCCACGCGCCATGCACGTCTATAGAAGGTGTGAGACAGCATCACAGACGTGTCCTGGGGGCGCCCCGCATTGGCAGGGAAGCCGCGGTGACTGCAGCTAGAGATCGCACCTGCCCTCATTACTGAGCATCTTCTGCATGTCGGCTGCATGCCAGGCACTGTGCAGGTGCTGGAGAGTCCCTGGGGCCAAATGCACCAGGACCCGTCTTTAGATAATGCTGTTCTGGTTTGGCAGAGACGTCAGTGTGCGGGTATATGGCCACTTTGAGTTCCGTGCCAAGGGTCTCTCCTCCCCAAGGCCTTCTCTGGCCAGCTCTGCAGAGTAGCCCATGTTCATGGTCATGCTTCATTTAATATCCTGTCCATTTACTTCAAGCTTGTTCACTCGATACTGTCCACTTCCCCACCCAGCACGCGGGTGTTGTGGGTCCAGAGTCTAATCGTCACTTGCAGCTCTTAGCACAGGGGCTCATAACCAGCTTCCAAATGTTGGCTGAAAGGACCGGCTTTAAGGTGACTCTTCTGGATTGTATGTCTGTGTGTGTCTCGCAAGCCACGTGCAAGTGCAGAAGAACAGTGATAGTTATGTACCGGATTCATAGTTACACGTCTGTCCGCAACCCGATCACCTCCCGACCCCTTCCCACACCGTGCTGCCTCTCTCCCCTGCTGCTGGGGTTCCCTGTGCTTGGAGCCTCCTCTCTGTCTCCCCTGCAGGAATGCTGATGGTCTGCATCGTGATCGGCGCTCGGAAGCTCGGGGTCAACCCAGACAACATTGCCACACCTATCGCAGCCAGCCTGGGCGACCTCGTCACGTTGTCCATCCTGGCTGTGGTTAGCAGCTTCTTCTATAGACACAAAGGTAGGCCAGGCCACAGTGGTGGGGGGCGGGGGGAGGGACTTCCAGCCAGGTGTGTGGCGTTCTAGTCAGCACCTCTCCCAGGGAGCACCTCAGGCTTGGAGTCCGACCCTCCATTCGCAGGTTCTGGGTGTTCGCCAACTGGCCCCTCCAGCTCTCCCAGCCCCCTTAGAGAGGATGAGCTACTCCGGTCGGTAGATACGAGGGTGGTCAGTGTCCACCTTGGGACAGGGGGAGGTGGGGAGGTCAGGGTGTCCTCACAAGTGGCAGTGCCTCTTGGGAAAGGTAGTTCACTCCAGACACAAACAAACACACCAGACACTAAACTGCCCTGAAGTAACCCCAGGGAGGAATGTCACAGCTGAAGACAGTTCAGCACACCTGGGGCCCAGTGGCTTAGCAGATGCCCAGAGGGGTGTCCACACATCTTGGGGCAACAGGTCTGGTGGCCAGAGACCCTTCCTCCTTCAGAGGCCTCCCGGGTCCACTACAGGCCTCCCGCGTCCACCCCGGAACACAGCTTTGCTCACACCCCACATGGTGTGGATAGGAAGTGTCCTCGCTGGACAGGTCTCCCAGCTGGTGTCCACGACTGACCACTCCCCACATTTGCTCACTTCCCACCTTCCCCTCATCCAGTCTAGCTGAGTGGCTGCACACAGTGTCCACTCAGAACACTGGCACCTGCCCAAGCACCCAGGGGCCGGAAGCACAGATGAGCGGAGGGCGGGGTTGAAGATGGTAGGAGCCATGGGCATGTGGTGACAGACACTTGGAGGACATGCCCAGGACAAATGTCAGGCAGCCCCATGGGAATATGGTCACATGAGAAATGAAGCAGTTTGCTGGCCACTGCAGGAGACCAGTGAAACAGTGCTGGGAACGTTCTGGTGCTTTCCGTCTCAGCCCTGCAGCTGTCTCCTTGAAAATGGTAATGAAGATGCAATATGATGACTGAATTATCTTTAAACCAAACTAAATTTAAAATAAGACTTGTGTGTGGGTTAATGAATTTGATTCACAGAAATGGGCCCAGCCCTTTCTGTGCGCTGCCAAGGCCCCTCAGCAGGAGTTTGACCTTTGGTCCTGGAGGCTCCTCGGAGCGTGGTCCCCTGATGAGACGAGCGGGAGCGTCAGGGTGTGCCCATGTGCTCTGGTCTGTGCCCCCCGTCTCCACAGACAGTCGGTATCTGACGCTGCTGGTCTGCCTCGGCTTCGCTGCCCTGATCCCTGTGTGGGTGCTCGTCGCCAGGCAGAGTCCCCCCATCGTGAAGGTCCTCAAGTTCGGCTGGTTGCCAATCATCCTGGCGATGGTCATTAGTAGGTGAGCCCGAACGAGGGCCACTCTGGCCTCTGGGTCAGAGGAGTGGCCTCACAGTGGGCAGCAGGTTCCCTGGAGGAAGGGTCATGATGCCAAGGGCTCCTTCTCCAGCTCCTACTGCTGGTCGAAATGTGAGGCACTCTCATGTCTCTCATCTGGACCCCTAGACCAACCTCGCTCTGAGAGGCGTCCTGAGCCCAGGTGCCAGGAAGAGAGGAGCCCAGAGTCTCGGTTCCTGCCCCCTGTGCCTCTTAGAAACCTGGGTGTCCTGCTGCCACTTAGGCTGGGCCGGGGGGTGGAGGAGTGCCCCACTCTGGCTTCATGACAGCAGTTCAGTGAGCACCTTTTCTATAGTGTGGCTGCTTGCAGGACCCGGAGGGTCAGGCCTGTACCCCCTGCACCCCAAGTGCCTGTTCCACCTGCAGTTCCTGAAGGGGCCACCCCAGTCCTTTCTGATGTGTGTTCCTAACTCTGACTCTCATGAGAGGAGGTGGTTAGGCTAAGTGTCAGCTCCAGAAGGCCTGAGGCTCCCTACACAAACCATCTCCAGGGCTCTAGGGCAAGGCGACCAGTGCCAAGCCACAGGGAGGGGCGGGGCTTGCTGCTGGGTCTTCCCAGAACAAGGGGTATGAGCTGATACTCAAGTCCCTTGTCCCTCTTGTGGTCCAGAAGCTGTCATGTGACAGAGCCCAGCCAGCTAAGTGGCCTCGGAAGGGAGTTTGTTTTTAATGAGCTGACATCTGATGGGCCTTCTGGGACATCAGAGATGGGAATAGAGATGGAGCTGGACATGGATGTTGGGGCGTGGAGGCCCTGGGGAGGCCCCTTTGACTGCAGCAAATTTTCCGTGTAGAAACAGGAAAGGGGGTGTGATGGCCAGAAGACAGGCTGATGCGGGGTGGTGCGTGGAGACGCAGCTCGAGGCCGGGCACGAGCATCAGCTGCCTTCTCAGTGTTGTCTGCTCTCCCCAGCCTTGGAGGCCTGATCCTGAACAAAACCGTTTCTAAACAGCCGTTCAGAGGCATGGCCATATTCACCCCCATCATATGTGGTAGGTATTTTGCCGACTCACCTGGGGCCCCGGGACTGGGTTGACCCTCAGGGGTCTGGTGTTGGGACCCAACAATGAACTCAGAGTCCCAACCCCAGGCCCCCTGAGGCATGTTGGGAAGTAGAACCCACTGTGGGCTGTTTTTCCAGATGGACGCAGAACCAGGCGAGAGCCCTGCCACGTGGCCCATAGGCTCCAGGCATGGAGACCCACGCCTTCCCCAGCAGAGCTAAATCCATCGACATTTAAAACTCAGATATTTACACATAAAAGCCTGGGTTTCTGTCTGAAGAAGCAAGACTGATGATACAGGGTTTAGGTTGGAGCGTGGGCGAGAATCAGCAGCCGCACCTCTCGCCTTCTGTCTTCCTCCCCCCCTCTTCATGATTCATCTTCGTGGCATAGGCACTGTGGCCACTTTTGTTGAGGATGCCACTTTTCCAAAGCTTGGTTTGTGTGTGGTCTCTGACAAGGCTTTGTAAACGGGGCTAACACATGGGAACCAGACATTACTTACTGCCTGCTTTGCTTGGTGCCCAGCCCTGGCCTTTGGGGACTGCAGAAACAGGCTTCAGAGGTCTCTGGGCAGCCCTGCATGTCCACACATTTCCTGAGAGCCCACGCCTGTGTTCTTGCATGTCGGTGGGCTGTGCTACCCAGCTGGTCTGCCTCCTGACAGAGTCCCACAGTTCTGTTGCCGTCTCCAGGGCTGGCCACTGTGAGTGACGACAGCAGCAGGTCAGTCAAATCCAGATGGCCATCACTTGGAAATATTTTCCTTGGATGTCGCCAGCTTAGGCCCCTGTAGGGGCCAAGCAAGCAATTTGAATTAGTGAAGCAGGTAAGATGGTAGCGAGGCAGTAGAGAGTGGTGGTGAGTGGGGCAAACCTTGACATCCTGGGCACAGGGAGTATACTGTCCCTGCTCAGCTCTGACCACCTGCCATCTGGTGGGAATCGGGCTCCAGAGTTGCTTGTGATTGCTGCCAATTAATTTTAGGGTGTATTCCCCCCCTTCTTTTCTTTCTAAACCATGTGTGGCCCCCCAAATAGATCTCTGGCTGTCCCTGTCTCTGGAGCAGCCAGGAGCCAAGGTGGTTGGTCTCTGCTCCTGGTGGTCACTGGTGACTTCTGCCCCAGTGAGGGTTTATTCTCAGTGGGCTGAAAGTTAAAGGGTGGGGATGACCCAACCCACCCACCAAGGAGCTGGTCACCAGGCCAGGCCCCATTTTCTGCCAGCCCCATAGTCTGCTCCTGGAGGAGCTCACACGGCCTTTGTCATGGGCCACAGCAGAGCTAGATGTGATGGCGCACGGGGGTGCCAGCAGCCTCAGTTCTGTCAGGTGTCATCATCTCTCCTCTCTTGCTGCCCACTTCCCTTTCCCTCCCACCAGTAGCTGACCCTTCCTGTCAGCTATTCCAGTTGATCACTTGGCTCCTGTGGCCCTGTGTGACCTGTCCAGTATTGTCTCCTAGGCTCCTCCTTCCACCCAACTGATACGTGTTGAGAACCTGCTGCACCTGTCACAGGTGATAGCTGTCAAGGTGATGGAGCTACCACCTCAGTACCTCGCCCGCGAGGCCACCCTTGCCCAGTGCCAAATTAGATCTGTGGTCCGGTGGGAGGAAAGAAAAAGACACCAAGTATTGAATCAGTTAAGGAAGGAAGTGAACTTAAGATGTGGGCGAGACTGGCATGAGGAAGGGGAATCAGCTGCTTTTTCTCCTCGAAGGTGTTGGCGGCAATCTGGTGGCCATTCAGACCAGCCGGATCTCCACCTACCTGCACATGTGGAGCACACCTGGTGTCCTGCCCCTCTGGATGAAGAAATTTTGGCCCAACCCATGCTCTACTTTCTGCACCTCAGGTGGGTCTGGTGTCTTCCAGAGGCCACATGGCCGATTCTTTAAGCCAATAAAAGCTGGCATCACTGGAGTCAGATGTTTCTTGCAATGGATGTCTAAAACCCATGTTGGCCTCAGTACAGATCAACTCCAGAGTGTTGTTCCTGCTCCCTACCCCAACCCCATACACACACACCTGTTTCCTAACCTGCTTTAACTGATGCATTCACTCAGCAGCACGATGAGTGTCATCCAGGTACTGGTGTCACGTGACAGCAGTGAGACAGAGAAAATGCATAAACACTGTTTTAGTGAATTCAGGCTGCTGTAACAGAAACAGACTGGATGACTTACAGACCACCAAATTGTTCTCATATTTCTGGCGGCTGGAGGTCAGAGACCAAGGCACCAGCACACTGGGTGCCTGACGAGGCCGTCTTCACGCTGTGTCCTCCCCAGGGCCTCTGTATAGGGGTCTGATGAGGCTCCACCCTTATGAGTCACTCCCAAAGGCCCCATGTCCTAACACCATCATGTTGGGGATTAGACAACTTGAGCTTGGAGGCTCAGGCACCTCTATAGCAGCACCTCAATATTGAATTAATTTTTTTTAAGATTTATTTATTTATGCAGACAGAACTGGGGTACAGGCCAGAGGTGCAAGGATGGTGAGAGGATTCACCAGAGACAGAGTGGGAAGCAGAACAGGCAGATCGATGAAGTACACTGCTGAGGGGAGCAGCGGGCCGGTCAGGAGAGGTCTGCCACGCCATGTAGGTCACCTCTGGGGTGGGGATCGAACTCATGCTGAAGTGGCTTTAGCTTCTTAGTGCTGCGCTTTAACCCACTGAGTCACCAGTGGGTGAATTAAATTTCTATAGTTCTTCCTGTAGGTTTTTTAGATTATGCCAGTTGCCAGTAGTAATTAACTTGCTCAGACCCTTTAAAATGGTTTGTAAAAAGGATCTTTTATTCCTTGTCTGATTGTCCATCCTGAATACATTTTGGTGCTTCTGCCTTCTCCCTGCTGATATTCTATGCCTATCTTTTCAACTAACTTACACAACTTTTTCTTGTCTTTATTCATTTAACGAAATACTTTATTTAATTCAGGAAGAATGAAGTCTTACTTTGCAGTAAAACCCTTAGTTTCTGTCTGAGAAGCCACGTGTACCCGTGTCGTCCCACAGGCGCGTGGGGGAGTCACATTTTGAGACCAGCCCGGGCTCCTGGCATGCGGAGCCAGAGGAGAACTCGCAGCCCACCCAGGCCAACTCCTCGGCACAGCTTTCCTTCTTCGCCATTCCCCAGCCCCACCTTCCTCCCCTGGCATTCTCCTTCCTCTCCCAGGGTCGGGCCTCAGTTTACCTGTCCCCTCCCCGCGCGCTCCAGCACCCCAGCCGCCTGCCTTCTTCTTCCCAGTCCTCATCCCAGTTTGAAATGAGCCCTCTGTGGGTCTCTGCTGTCTCCCCTGGCTTTGCTCGCTCGCCTACAATGCCAGCCCCAGAGGGAAGGGATAGGACTGTCCCATCTCAAGGATGCGCCCAGGTGGAGGGAGGCCACACACCCTGCTCTGCTGAATGATGGTGGAGGCCCCGCTGGGGCTGTCATGAGCCAAGGTGGCCTCAGCGGCCCTGAGGGCCTCTTGACCTCCTGGGTTTGCTCCTGTCTCTGCCAGATGTCAACTCCACGTCAGCCCGAGTCCTGCTCTTCCTGGTGGTCCCGGGCCATCTGCTCTTCTTCTACATCATCTACCTGGTGGAGGGCCCTTCCATCACAGACGGCAAGGTCTTCCTGCTGCTCTACCTGCTGGCTGGCTTGGTCCAGGTGAGGCCTGCCCACGGCAGAGCAACCCCGTGCTTCCTCACAGCATCTGCCTGTACTGGGTGACGTGAGACAGCATTGGGAGGTGGGGGAGTATACGGACATGCAGGTCATGGCCCCCACTGCCCAGGCGAGGAGTGACCTCACCAAGGTGTGGTATCAGAGGCCAGTCCACTCTCAGCACTGAACAAGCCATACTCCTCGTAATGCACCGCTCATGCCTCACAGCAACCCCCTCACTGCACTTGGCACCCCCTACTCCACATGGCACTCTCCTCACTGCGCTCGGCACCCCCCTCGCTCCCTCAGCACACCATACAGGGCACAGCCCCTGTGGTTCACCTGCTATGGTTCATGGTCCCTCCGCACGGCCTTCTGCTCGCTCACAGGACACGTTGTTCTCACAGCTCTGCACACTGCACACACGGCCGAGGGTGGAGGCGGGTGGAGGCAGGTCTTCAGGTGTCTGAGTGCTGGGACCTGCAGGCCTAGGTGGGAGGTGAGGCCCGACAGACAGCATGGTCACTTCTGCCTTGCTCCAGCTTGCAGCTGGGCCTCGGCTCCTCTGATGAGCCTGAAGGAGGGGATGCCTGGGGCTTATGTCCACCTGTGGGACCTCCTGGAAACTCGCTGGTGTTCCTGGTGACGCTCGGTCTCTGACTCCGTCATCGTCGCATGTCTGCTTGCTCTCATGACAGGTGACGATCCTGCTGTACCTTGCAGATGTGATGGTTCGGATGACTTGGCACCAGGCTATGGATCCCGACAACCACTGTATCCCCTACCTCACGGGTCTGGGGGACCTCCTCGGGACTGGCCTCCTGGCCCTCTGCTTCCTTACCAGCTGGCTATTGAGGAGCAGACCTGAGCTGGGTGGCATCTCTGAACTGGTGTCGGGGCCCCCCTAATGAGCAGGGCAGCCCCAGTGGTTCTGTAGAATTTCCCCCCACACCAGCAGGCACAGAGCCCCGTTTCAGCCATCAGAGCCGGGCCTCATGATGGCTGACATCCTGCCTCTGCACCAGCCCTCAATGGCCTGCTAGGGACACGAGCGCCCTGGACCCTGGACATGAACCTGACAAAGGTGGTCAGGTGCAACACCAGCGCACCGACTGCCTGGTGACTGTGCATGGGGGGTGGGTGGTTGTGGGGTGAGTGCCCATATGTGGGGAGCAGGGAAGGCGTCAAAGGAAAAACATGTCTGATGCCTCGGGGTACTGGGATGGAGATCCGTTCCGTGGTGGTCGGGACTTGGGACTCTCTCAGCCTCAGCTTAGTTCCTTCATCACCAGTGGGGAACTCAGAGCAGCTAGGGGGGCTCCCCACACTCCTCATATGCTTCAAGCATCTAAGCTTGTCACTGCTTACCCTGCTTTTGCTTTTTTTTCTTTTTCTTCTTTTTTAGAAGAAATTTAGAATTTAGTGCTAAGAGAAACATAAAATAAAACCCAGACTCTATATTGTATTTGGCCTTTTGTGTCTCTAAATGTAGCTGGTGCACTGTGAGACCAGGGGTCTAGGAGTAACCCGCTGCAGCCATCTCTGGTACAGTGGTTTCTGTAACTGCTCTCCGGCAGATGCATCAGTATCACTTGGAAACTTGTTAAAATGTAAGTTGACCCCTCTACATCCCAGACCAGCCACATCAACACGACTCTGCAGGGTGAACTTAACCGTCCTGACGCTCTCATACTCGAGGACCACTGCTCCAGAATACACATCTTTTGTTGTTTTCTAAGTATTTCTCTTCCTCTCTGTTACTACCTCCTCAATAACTTGAGCCGTGGTTTGGACTGAGGATTGTTATCTTCAGCGGTTAAAGAGGCAGTCATTCATTCATTCAGCAAACACTCACTCTGAACCTCTTGCATCCGCTGGTGTCCTGGATGGGAAGAGATGGAGCCCCAGTGGGAGCCATCAAGCAGGGTTTAAGGAAAGCACACCTGGCTGGGTGCAGTGGGGAGCTGTCAGCACCAGGCACTCCCCTGAACTGGAGCGAGTCAGGAGTAGGGTTACCCAAAAAGGGTGTCTAGGAAAGAAACAGCTACTACAGCTTGTGTCCTGGGGATAAATGCCCCAAGCTTATTCTTGCCCATTCTGCCATGTCCTATTTATTTCTCTCATCAGCCAAACTCTACCAGAAGTTAAATGACTGGGGGTCGGGGGGGCTTGAAGTCCATCCATAGAGATCTCGGCCTCCAGGGTCAGAGAGCCAGTTGGGGGTGGGCAGTGGGTCTGGAAAAGCAGTGGAGATTGTCCCCCATGCCGTGGCAGGGCAAAGCACTCTTCCCCGTCTCAAGGGAGGAAGGTCAATAGTCAACACCATACAAATGAGCACTACAGTTCTAGTTCCAGTAGTTTGCAAACGAGCAGCACTATGAAAGCATCTAGTCTTGATAGCTCCAATAAGTTGGATTATGACCACAGTGATGCACACTTAGGTGCTCACCAGACAGGTGTCTTGTTAAAACATCCTTCGTGACACTGGTTAATAACAAAAGGATGGCTTCATTTGAGAGGGGACTATTGCCCTAGGTTTGGGGCTGCTGCAGGGGTCTCACCCCCAATACAAGGAAAATGACAAATTTCCCCATCCGTGGCTGGAAAGCCACTAAGGGAAATAAGGGCTTCCTGGCTAACCCTCACAGGGCCTGCTGAAGGCAGGCCAGAGTGCCCCATCACCTGGAGGGCAGTGGGGGGTGAGCACGTTCATCAGCTCTTGAAGATGACGGAGTCGTAAACTGGGGGTGACTCTTGCTAAAACGACACAGCGCAGAGAGGAGCATGGATCATCAGGAGCAGTTGAACACGAGCTCGGAGGGCGTGAGTACAGGTTGGCCAGGAGGGATCTCAGCCTCCATCTCTGGCAAAAAGGCGTTAACCATTTCCAGCATGTAATGCAGAGGCCTCACAACTGTAAGATTTTATCTTGTGTTGAATGAAACGTTTAACTCGCGTGTGAAGGAAGCAGCCATTTCCACTGGATACCAACAGCCCAAGCACCCACCCCTGCAGACCTGAATTCCCTTGTGAAGGGGGCCTGACCTGGAATAGGATTGAGGGGGCGGGGCAGGGAGGCTCCGCCCACGAGGCCCATCCTCCAGGCCCCCTCCCTGGAGAACGGCCACTGGCCGCGAGCCCCACCCCCAACCCCCACCCACTACTGACCGTTTCCTGCCTCCCTGGAAGCAGTTGAAGGATGGATCATCCCCACTTAAGGTCATGAGGTTTTTCATTTCTACCTTAAAACCTGCCTTTTGGGGCACCCTGCAACACGTTCTGCACACCCAGTGAGGAGGGGGTAGCTGTGGACGTTACACCACCTGACCTGGCCCACGCTGCAGGCCCTGAGCCCGGCATTGCCCTCAGAAGCTTCCAGAGTGTTTGCTCCACCTCAGTACCAGGTACCAGTTCATATCCATTAAAGTCCCGCCTAGGCTTTTCTGTGTTTGGCCCTTTGGATGTGGCCTCATCTTCCAGCTTAAAGTCCCTTCACCATCTCCCCTCCCCGCCTACCACCCCACCAAGTCTGCCGCCTGGAGGTGGGTTCTTACTCAGTTCCTCAGAGTCCTGGGGAAACTCCAGGAACGATACCTTCCCTTCCATAAGCTCCCCTCTTTGGGCACTACCTCCCCCATCCTTCAGCAACCAGTTCCCACCTTTCCCCTTCACAGTCTCCCCTCAGAGAGGTTCCTGAACCCCAGACTGGGGGGGGAACTCTCCTGTCTGGTGAAACCCCCTATTTTTCTGCCCCAAATCCCAGCCACTGACTCTACCTACCAGGCCCACTAGAAAGTGGCCTCCTGCATCTGGGGTTCTTTATGCCATGCTTTAAATGTCTTGATGGAGTAGGACATGAGAAGAGAGATCTAGAAGAACCAGGGAATTGGAGGACATAAGGAAAGGAGGTGAAATAGTGGGTGGGGGATGGGTTAAGCGTTAAGCGTTTGCTTTGGGAAACAAGAGTGGAAGAATGTCCTGGGAAAGAAGCAGAGGGAGAAATGAAAACAGACAAAAAGGGGGCTCAGCAGTCACATAAGCCCCTGTCTTCACTCCTCTCATTGCTGAATCTAAATTACACCCTTACTTATGTTACATCCCAAACATAAACTAGTCATTTTTTGAAAGCGTTATTTTGAAGGCACCACTGTGATGGGATTACAGATACTTATTTTTCTAAATGTTTACTTTGTTCTCCTTTTTCTTATTTTTGTTCTTGTTTCTAACCTTTTTCATTGCCTCCTTTTTTTTTTTTTACTTTGTCTTCTCGTTTTCCCTTTATTTTTCTATTTGTCCTCTTTCTCATTTTTCCCCTCAGTATTGATAATTGTCATGGTTGGTACAGTTAGTATTCTTAATATAGTTAACATAGTATAATTTGTTCACATAATGCACATGTTTTGTTAGTGTGTGTTAGCACTGCTAGTATTGTCAGTGCTGGTGTTGATGTCACTAATTCATATCCTTATATATCTTATGCCCCAAACATGATTCAGGACTTATATCTATATCTGCTAATGAGGAGATTCATATCTAAAAATACGGGATGCTGGAGATACTTGGCTGAGGTATAGTCACTAAAGTAATGTTGAACCAGTACACCTGATTGAGACTGAGGTAGACGTGAAGATCATTAACAACCACCAAGGACTTTTACGTGAAGTCTATAGCATGAAGGTCTTGAATCACTGCAATGTCCAAGTAGTGGGTGCCTCAGAGCCACTGTACCTTGTCATGGAGTCCATTAGCAGAGGAGACATGTTTGATCATCTGCAGGATCACCGCCACGAGAGAGGCAGCAGTTAGAACTGCTGGGCAGCACCGCCACCAGAGATGTGTTGTCATGGGGACCTGAAGCCACAGAGCCTGCTTTTCGATGCTGACCTGAAAGTAAAAATTGCTGACTTTGGCCTCAGCAATGAGTTCACCATCCACCATAATTTAAATACCCACTATGGCATCCCTGTTGAGTGTGACCAGATATGGGGCAGTAACACAGCAGCTACCTGTGTGACCATATATGGGCAATAGTACAATGACCGGGACCGGGCCTTGTATCCAGGTGTACAGCGCCACTTCAGCTGTCTAAAACTGAACCTAAAGCCTGTATAACACTTGTTCCCCTACAGCACTCGTAGCTGCGGACCCCACCCTCGGGAGCTCCCTCTCAGCTGCTGCCCGGGAGCAATAAACTCTGCTTGCTCAGCCTTTCTGCCCCCCCCAGCCACTTTCCTGGAAATGGGCCTGGTGTGCATAGCTTCCCGGAACACACTCTCATCCTTTCCTGCCATGATGCGCACCTGCCCCCATCCCCTCCCATACTAGTTTGAGTTGAAATTTACTGTGCAGACTCAGATTCTAGTGAAACAGGCCAGGGAATAGGCTGTTTCATATGTAGTGTAACTTGACTGTTGCTAAAAAATGAATTTGGAACTGACAGGTTCTCTGCCCAGCTAAGTTTAACAGCTTAATTTGAAAAGCCAAACAAATTCTGCTCGCAGTTTGAAGGCAGAGGCTGGGATGTGGTCATGCCTTGGCCTGAGCTGCTCTGAGGAGAGAGGTACTGTCACTTCCCAGCTGTCTATATAACTTTTTATATGCCCTCCACCCTCATGGAACCTGCAATTTTTTTTTTTAGTTTTTTAAAAAGATTTATTTATTTTATTTATACAGAACTGGGATACAGGCCAGAGAGGTAGAGGGTGAGAGAATTCACCAGGACAGAGTGGGGAGCAGAACAGGCAGATCAATGAAGTACACTGCTGAGGGGAGCAGGGGGCGGGCAGGTCAGGAGAGGTCTGCCGC